CAGTGAGTGGTATGGAGTCCATCACATTGTCTGGTTCATCATTGTTCGATATATCACTGTCGTCCCAGGACACTGGCTCCGTGGACAGCAGCAAACTGCAATATGTAAGCTTGATAATGACATATTTGTATTACCTGGTATATAATAAAAATGTTGTGTTCAGATTTAACCATAAAAAACACAAAACCTAGATTTCATGGACATGCACATCATCAGCTGGGTTCTGCAATTCCCAGCCAGTAGACAAACTTAAGTCAAAATACATATACTGAACAAATAAGAAACGCACAATTAAATTATGCAATCAATAGCCTATGATATTTTGGGAAATTTGTACAAAATTTTATATCAATATGAAGGGACAAGTCTACTCTTTACAATACTGTAGAAGAAAAGTCTGTGTGACATCACTCGTGTCATCAGTAGTTACTCACAGATGCTCAATGGGAGACATGTCAGGGCTATATGGGGGCCATTCCAGAGGCTGAACGTTGTTTGCCGTGAGAAAATTATGACAGATTCTGGCAACATGCGGTCAAGCATTGTCTTGCTGGAAAATTAGGTTATGACGTCTGAGAAGTGGAAGGACATATGGTTGGAGGATCTGGTCTCTGTATCAAAAGACATTGAGGTTTTGATCCAGGACCACTAAGGGGGATTTTACTCCATGGGAAATGCTTCCCCAGACCATTACAGAAGCCCCACCAATCTATCGTGTTCAACCATGCATGTGTCGGCGAAACGCTCACCGCGTCTGCGATATACCCTTTTTCTTCCGTCTGAGCGATACAGATAGAATCTAGACTCGCCGGTGAACATCGCATGCCTCCATCGACGCATCCCAAACCTATTTGGGCCATGTCTGCGCATCCAGTCAAGACGCACTTGCCGCCTCCGTGGTGTCAGAGGTGGCCAGACATAAGGTCGGCGCGCAATAATTCTCTCGGCACGCAAGCGGTTCCTGGCAGTTTGAGGACTTATGGGTCTGCCATGAGTACGTAAGGTATGCGACGCAGTCTCTACAGCAGTCTTGAATCTGTTGCGCACAATCGAATCGCCCTGTCTTGTCGTGCGGTCGTTACACGCTGACGACCGCTCCTGGGACGATCGGAAACTAACCCAGTAGCACGGAAACGTGTACAGAGACGGTTAATTGTACACTGGCCAACACCAAACTGCCGTGCGACAGCAGTTTAGCTATGATCATCCATCAACATCGCAATTGCTCTACCCCTCTGAATTTGCGTTAAGCATGGCATCTCAGTCAATGGCGAAATCAAAATGCCAACGTGGAAAATTAATGTGGCTGAACTTATAGTATCTGTTGAGATTATTTGTTTGAAAAACTTCGGCTTGGCTTGATCACGCCGCATGATTTGGACTAAAGAAGCTCACAAAGTCACACAATGACATTGTCACGCTTGGCTGATTTTAGGGTAGATTGTTGAGAAGGGAGATCGTTCTTGATGTAATACCTGACCAAATATTCCATTATTTCCTTACAGCTAAGGTGTACTGCAGGGGGGGGGGGAAACTTTGTGCGTTTCTTTTTTTGTTTAGTATAATATTAATATAATATAATATTATTAAACTGTTGCATGACGTTACCACTATATAACCCTACCAATTACAGATGACACTCAATCGACTGTAAATGTCATGGCCAACATGCTGACGTCATCATTATTATCATGACGTCATAATTGTACCATTGAACACTGCTGACGTTTCCATGGAAGTGGCTGTTCTATTCATTGAACATGGAAGTGGCTGTTCTATTCATTGAACTATCACACACGATGCATACACTTATCTGAACTAAAGGCCACATATGATAGCCTGCATTATGGTGTTTGCCTGCAAAGCTATGTCATTTATATCGATCATTAATGCCATATCAACACAGGTCAATGCTTAAATATTTCAAATGGAGCATTTAACACGAGCATACATAATACAGTTAGGATGGTTTAACTAAATGTTAAATATTATCAAACTGTTATATATAGCACAGGTCAATGGTTAATTATTTCACATGGAGCCTACATAATAATACATTTAAATATTAAATAATAAATTATAAGTACCGTACCGATGGTGATGCATCTGGCAATGGCGTTACACCAAGATCACAAATACTCTCACCCATGCTTTTCTGAGCTTCCAGAGAATCCTGCTTTGCAATATCTCTGGAAATTAAATATAACAGGATTGCGTTACAGATACAGAAAATTATTAATTTATAATATTATCAAAACGTAAATATTAACACATGTACAAATCTGCATATGAAATGATATACATCAGGCAAGTTCATTGAATTTATTACCTTTACTAACATTTCTTGTACATGTATTAAGAAAACAATAAGAATCATATACAATTTCAGTAAACTGCAAACTTATTTTTTCACATGTATCAATTAAATGTTACATTAGTATGTACAATCAAATTAATCTAACTCCGTGATGAAACTAATAAATCATCAATCATTGCAAATAGTGTAAAATATACTTACAAACATGTCCCACGCTTAAGCTTTGTGTGGACTTGATGTGGTGCGTTTTACCGTAAGAGCCTTTGTCAAAGGCTTTGTTTACCGCACCGCAATCCGGATTTTGGCAATTAACATACAAGTATCCACTCAATCCTTTCCTCAATTCTCCAACAATATTTAGAGATGGTAAAGGAATTGGCCCTAATTGGCACGATTGACATGAACTTAAATTGGACAGTAAAACTTCAAATTCAACAATCCTTCGGTCATCTTCCACCCAGAACNATGTTAAAGGAATTGGCCCTAATTGGCACGATTGACATGAACTTAAATTGGACAGTAAAACTTCAAATTCAACAATCCTTCGGTCATCTTCCACCCAGAACGTTCTGCATGCTTACCTAGCTTTATATTGTTAAACAAATGACAGTCGTCATTTTCACAACTTCGTTCACCTTTACAGACATGTCCATCGCTATAATTATGATCTTTAAGTACTTGCAATTTCTTGACAAGGCGTATTTTTGACGCGAGCCTCTTGAAGCGGCCGCTCAAATCACAAACAGCCGCCATTTGTTTACATTCGTTTCCTCAACGGGCGGTAACTCATGTCGAAATAACGTCGCGATTAGGGGAATTCCCAGATTACGAAATTTCCCGATGTCGTCCGATGTTTGCCGATAGTCATTTCTGTTGTGGTGGCGGGAGTTTTCGACTCCTGAACCACTCTCTCGAACTCCGGATTTGTGTTTGAGGAACAACACTTCATTTTAGACGAGGTGTTAGGTTTTGATTTAGTTTACGCTTTAAGTTAAACTACAA